TAGGCCTTCCATTTCTTACGGGTTTTTTAGGTGACTAGAACCAAGCAAGTTTGTGAAGAGCAGATTTCATGAAGGAGATAAATACTGAGGAGTGTTTGAAGAAGAATCAGAAAATCCTGTGGCAGTGAGAGAAGCAAAAGGGATTGAGGATAAAAGAATCACCTAAATTGGCTCCAAGGTGGGACCTGACAAGGTGTGGTCGCAGCATACTCCCTGCAGCAAAAATACTGGCCAAAGTGCAGCAAGAGAGAAGAACATTCAGGAAAGATAAAACCAGTAATGCCGAGACTTGACACCTCTAAGGCCCTTTGAATTTCAGATGTGCTTTCCCGAGTGTATGAATATGGAAAAGAAAAAAAAAAGTACAGAGGTTAAAGAGAAGGATGTATGATTATTTAGGAAGGAAGAAAAGAAAGTATCTGAATTATTAGAAAGGTCATCCAAGGCCATTCCTAAATAACTTGACTGTTGAGATCAGTCATTTCTTTTTGTGGTCACAGATGATGGCCACTTCTGCTCCTTTAAAAAGTGTTCTGTTTCTAGCATTATTCTGAAAGCATTTTTTTTAACCACCTAGTTTTTTGGCTTACTCTGCTGGTCATACCCCATGTGTACAGAATTTTAAACACCTTTTCTGTCCTTGAAGCTGGAAACATCTCTGTTAGTCTGTTAAAAATACGGGTACTCTGAGCCCTTCTGTAATGATCACTGTAGATGACAGTGGTTACTGAGTGACAGTGGTCACCAAAATGTTGGCTTCGTTTTTAATATATTCAAATTTAATTTAAATTCTGAAACAATTACTAGTATAGGCTACACTTAGACTATTAACCATTTCAAACATTTTGGTCCAACCCATTAAATCCCAAAGTCCTTTGCTTCCCGGAGAACTGATTGTCTACTATGGATGTCTGAGCTGTTTTTTCAAATGCCCAACCAGACTCTGAGCTGTCATATTAGCTGGGGAAGAGATAAGGTGTAAGAAAAGTATCCAGTCATCCAACCACATTTCTGGTTTTTTGTACCAGCTTCAGATGAAATACAGTCACTCAATAAAGTCCTTCTGTTTTCTCTTTCCCTCCCTCCCGTTCTCTCTCCCTATTTGCCTAGAGAGGGGAACCCTAAACCCTTTGGAGCATTTCCAGCAGCTCCGAAAGAATCTCTTGACTATTTTCCCAGGGAATTCCTGCCTGAAATGTCAGCAGAGTACAATTCCCCCGCCAAAGCAGAGTCCGCCTGGATCTGAATCCAGAAAAATGTGCCTGCTACACCAAACACGGAAACCTGGATCTGTGGGGCGTGGGGGCACAGAGTGAGATTTACGGTGTTTCTGGAAGGTTCAACCACCATTGGAAGGAGAGGTTTTCTCCCATTAACCTCACTAAGGAACAGGAAGCTAAGTTGAACACTCTGATTCCTTGCTGTATTTGATCATTATTTCTATTTCACTCTTTCGGTGGTGAACTCTATTTCTGGAAGCCATCCTGAATTATAACCATAAGGTAAAGCTTCCTTGAAAAAGGAACACAGCCCCATTAAGCCCTTCGTCGTGATGGTAGTGGTTGCGGCGGCGGCTGCTGTTGTTGTTCTGTTTGTTTGTTTGTTTTTAATGAACATACTGATATATAAGTGCTCTGGGGGAATTCATGATGCTGAGATTCACGAAAAGCAAAGTAAGATTTATGAGTTGCGATTGAATCTGCCCTTACCAGCCTGGAGACACTTCCCGTCTGGTACTGAGGCATTGCTGGCATGTTTAGTGCTTTTGTTTCAGTTTTCAATCTCTGAACACATGAAGAAATATTAAAAGTTCTGAGGGCAAGGATGGGAGAAGGAGTCCACAAATCCCAAAGATATACAACAGCACCCAAGGAAAATAGTATGGCATAGTAGATTAAAAATTCAGAAACAAAGTGTGTCAATTAGCTAGTGTTTGCTAAGTACTTGTCATTTTCACTTATGCTTCTCTCTAGTTCCTCATGTGTTACTGACCCCCAACTTTGCAAGGCTATTGAACTAAAGATTCATAAGGTCGTCTGGCGCAAAGACCAATTTTAAATCAATGTGCCATGTAACTATCCTCCCCCAAAAGATCATAACACTGTACAATGAGAAAGTCAATAAGATTTAATTAATAAATTGTTATTCAATTTTTTAATGAATTGCACGCTCTTAAACATACCAGTGGCGGGAGGTGGCGGTGGTGGGGGGATTAGATTCCAACTGTCACTTGGATCCAGGTCCACTTCAAAACATTTCAGTGTAGAAGGTATTACTCATATTCACCAGAGCTTCCCACCTCCTGGTGACCCACCACCACCAGAAGCACATTATAGCTGCTTTCCTTCATTATCGCATTCTGCATACAAGACCACAGACAATCCTGTGGGAAATTTCTGCCCCTAGTCCAAAGGAAAGCCAGGTAACTAGCTGATTATTGCCTACAGCTGACAGTATCACAGGACGGTCAGTAGTAGCAGCTCAAGTACAAAAAGAATAATCAGCAATACTTAACAAGAAAAACTACCTCTGGTAGGTGAAGAGTTAATCCCCAGTCAATTTTAAGCTACTCTGCTGAGAGTACTAAGAAGTGTAGGGGGTGGTGCCAATGAGGGTGGCCCCTTCCTTGATGGGAACAGTCATCCCTTAGGAACTGCACTGCCAAGGCATCAGCCAGCCAGAAAACAGGGAAAGAGGCTGAGAAACCGTGGTAACCAAGTTTTGCTGGCACTTTGTAAAATGGTAACTGCGACTGCCGAGGTTGTGCAGAGAATGCTAATAAGCCTAGGACAACCTGTGAAGATGGACCTAGAAAATGTCCACCCACTGACCAGACCAGCACCCCTAAGGAGCGCCACTCTGTAGATTCCTGTGGATCTGCCCACAGGACTCATTCACAAGGAAGCCCCTAAAGATGGCTGCCTTGTGCCTTAGCTTCACAGCCCTCAAAATACCTCTGACTCAAATGCCTTAGGGTCAGAGTAATGACACTTAGCACATCTGCCTAGAAAGTCAGTTTTCCAATTTGTAACAAACATTTTGCAGCTTTTTAAAATCTCATTCTAAAATCCAAATGGTAAACAGCTTTAAGAATCAATATGAAATGTTTTAAGTGTTCTTTGTGGATTCACATCAATTCTCCCTGCCACTCACTCTCATCACAATTTATTCTGACTTTCAGGGAGCATATTAAAGGTAGAAACCACTGATGTACAATAATCAGTGTACAACCATATTATTAAGAATCTAAATTCAATCTTGGTTAGCTCAAAATGCTTGAAACAGTAATAAAGTGCTCCTTTGAAAGTCACACTCAAATTTTGAATTCCTCTTTCGAATGAGAGTTCTTCACCCATTCCCATGTCTCAAGTACGCAAATGAAAACAAAACAAAAAACTGTAACTGGGATTTAAAAGTATAACAGTCTTTCTTCTCTCTTATGTATTTCTTTCTTGTCATACTTCATTCTGGAAAAAAAAAAATCCAATCTGAAATATAAAGTGGGAAAAGGGAGGCGTCCATAGATAATGTGAGTTATTATCATTGTTCTAGTTGTCGACTTGAGTAGTGGGTTCATAGATGTTCATTACATTATTTAAAAGCCATTAAAATTAACTATTAGAAAATAAGAGGGCCATACATGCACGAGTGATGACAGAGTGTTATAACTCAGGAATTCTGATTATTCCAATCCCATGCACCTACGGTCTATTTAAAGAAAAAATAATAATGAGATGGTGATGCAGGTAGCTAATGGCTAAACCTTCTAGAGTTCACCAAACTCCTTAGACAGGGACGTCTTCATAAGCACGTAGCCTGTGCAGCTGCACAAGGTCCTGCCTTTAGCAGCACCCAGCCTTCATTTATGCTCTGCTGTCGCAATCTTGAAATTTAAATAATGTTTTACCAAGGTGTCCTGCATTCATTTTGCACTGGGACCAGTAAATTATAAAATCAGTCCTGTCCCTAGGTTTCCAGAGGTTAAATTTACCTACAGTTCCCCGTAATTTCATCCCCATCCAACTTTGATATTTTTTAAGTTTGCTACTTCTTCCCCCCAGATTATTAATATAACAGTCAGGTGAGCACCTAGAGCCGTCTTATTTCCTGTATTTCCTACGTTTCCTTATTTTTAGTGTCCAAATCAGTGCTGCCTGTGCTATAAATGGAGCTGCAGTTCTATATTGTGCTTATAATGCTTCTTCTCAGATCAAAAACTTCAAACAGAATTCATTGGCTAAAAAATAAATGCACCAAGTGTCTATCTCAATTCATCTCAACTGCTGGATTATACAAATTCATTTTCTAATAGTTGCCCGATTTAAACTACAACATGTAACCAAACAAGACAAATTCTGAACAATTCTTCGTGGTAGGAAGAATTCAAATAAAGATTTGAGGAAATCTTCATTTTCAAACATTACTGGCTGAAAAAAATAAACATAACGTAAGTAAATGTTTTTGCATTCCTGAAATGCCCTGTGTCTACAGTGATCAGGTACAGAAAAGTTACTTCAAGTTCAAATATAACTTAGCGATTGCCACATGGTGCAGAATCTTTCCACCCCTAACACTCCAAAAACCCAATCAGACAAGTGGCCGTAATCTGACTCCCAGCACACAGGGAGCTGCGGGGCAGGCAATGAGAGCTGCACTCTGGCTGGGGAAGGCATGAGTGACAGACCCACAGCAAGGCGGTGGGGGTAAGTCCTTCTTTGCCTTAAGGGATCAATGCTCAGGGCCAAAAGATGAAACTGTCTCTTTTATTTCAGATGTTTGTGCCTTCTTAGGCAGAATCTGGAAGGCAGCTATGGGGCAGGTGGGTGGTTCTTTTAGATCTAAGTACTGGGCATTTTCAGAAGAGAGGCATAGAGAAGGTAGAAGAAAAGGGATGCTTTTTAGGCAAATCCTCCGTATGTTTGAGATCTGCAAAAGCCCAGGAAAATTACCTTATGGAGGTAAATCTAGCTATAGTGCATTTCATCAGAAAAATTACTCACCCAGATGCTCAGCTGTCCTGGAGTGGATGAGGCTGAGTGTTCAGCTAGAAAATGATGTGTCCGATTCGGTACAACCGGGTCACATCAACAAATCCCCTTTGTTCTGGGGCAAAAGAAGCAAAACTAATTGTATTGATCATTTCCAGTGAGTGTGAACATGTAAGGGAACACTGACAATAAAAACACGGTGCTATGGGTGACGCTGGGGTGAGCCCTCATAAGGCCAGAGATATGTCTATGCTGCCAGCAAACTTCAGGATTCACAGCCGACTGAGGCTGGTACATCTGCCTTGGAAGGAGATCAGATTTTTGTAGATTTAAAAAAAAAAAAAAAAAGCTAAAAACATTCTTAAAGAGTATGTTTATGTTTTGTTTTCAAGTTTTGCACTCTTTTAAATTTCTCTGGCTGATGAAAATTTGAAGCTGAAAGAGCAACTGAGTTTCTTAAATTAGGTCTCTGGAGAGGTAGACAGGTGCATGAGAGACCAAGCAGGGAGAGAACTCGGGAAATGGCAGAAGTGAGAGGTGAAGCGGGTGAGCAAGGCGGCTGGCCTTTTCTGGGTCCCACCTTGCCTGGTGTCTCCTGCGGGGCTGAGAAGGACGTTTTCTGCCCACCTAGCTTCCTTAGCCTCCTGTTTTGTCCTCCTCCTTCTCCCCACTAACCCTGACCACAAACAACAGCACCTGTGATCGCATTTTGCCCCCTTTGCCATCCCGGCTACAGCCCTGGGCTGCCAGTGAGTTCAGAAGTGACTCTCCTAACTTCTTCAATGTGTGACTTTCCTGAGTTTGCCCTCTTTGGGAATATTTTTAGTGTCTCCTCCAGGGTGCCCTCCCTGCCCCATTCCAACTACCGTTTTTGTTTCTTTACATTCTCTTCCTCTAGAGAGTATGATGTCATTGTCATCCCACCTGGGGTTTTTCATACTTCTGAGATTTGCTTCACTGGGGCAGGGGATGCATGGGATGTGGCTGGCCACCCCGCTGTGGAGCCAGCTCTTCCTTTATCCTGCCACCCAGGCTTAGGCAAGAAAGGGTTTTTCACCCTCCACCTCTAAAGCAAAGCCCCGTAGCAAACTAAGGGTTAGGCTGAGCTGGAAATTCCCCTCACCCTTTTTGGCACTGCATTTCCTCACTACCCATGCAGAAAGCAGGCTCCTGGGAACATTCAGTGACATGGGGAAATGAGGGCCCCGCAATTTGTCAGAGAGAAAGCCACAATAATATTAATCTCTTAAAGTACTTGACTTTCTTACCTAACCCCTTATGTGGTCCTCTGCAATTAGATTCTTTGGTAAATGCTCTCCATACTTCTTGGCTTTCATGACTATCACAGGCAAAGGACAAGGGCAAAAGTCTTAGATGACATGGTAACTGGGGTAATTGCCCCCACAAAAGGGCAGTCCTAGCCATTTCCTCCCAGAATGAGCAGTTGGCGTCAATATCGTCAAACCACCCCTTCTCTGCTCCAAAGATCTAATGACAGCAAGAGGGATATAGACGGGAGGAGAAGGCGTCCTCCCTCTCCCAGACTGCCTGCCCACCACCCTCCCCCGAGAAACTCCGCAAGGTGAGACGCACTGTCCTCTAAGCCCATGTAACAGAAAGCCATCAAGAAAACCTTAGAGAAAAGCCGTTTTCCATAGAGCCTTCTGCTCAGGGGCCCAAAGTTTCCCTAGCCACACCCCCTTTTCCTGACTTCCCGAGCTCTGCACCATGAAGGCAAGAAGGGTACAGGGGCATTGCTGGCACACCCCAGCCTCCAGGCTCCCTGTGGCAGGTTTATCTGCATTTGTACGGTCAGGGTCAAGGGGTGAGAGAGGGTCGGGCACGAGGAGAGGCTGTCCTTCCTCCCCTAAAAGCATCCCCCACTCCCATCTCTCCCCACCTCCAGCGGCCAGGATGCAGCCGGGCCGGCGGGCAGGCCGGCGGGCTCGCGGGGCCGCTTGTGTGTGTGCACCTGGCTACCGCCCCGAGCCTGGCACGAGCCGGGAATGGCCGCTGCTCCGCCCTCTGAGAGGCGCTGCAGGCTCCCTGGGGACGGAGGTTGACACGTCCCTGTGCCGCACGCCCAGATCTGGGCGGTGCGCGGTGTCCCTTGGGCAGGCTCAGCTCCCGGACTCCTCCCGCTGGCAGCCTGCTCGCTCCTGGCGCAAAGGAGAGTGAGGGAGAGTCGCTGTCCCAGCTGAGGCCCCGCCTGTTCCCATCGCCCTAGCTAGTCACCAGAAGCTCCTCTCCCCTCAATGAGTTCACTTTCTCAAAAGACAGTCTTCAGCACCCTGGCTTCCTAGAAGTCTCCCCCTTAATCCAGAGTCTTGGGGGAGGGGGAGATTTTCAGAATGCCATTTCAAAGCAATCAAATGCAAAGCTAGAAAAGACGACCCCCCCCCCCACGCATACCTTGTTTTAATACTTTATGTTCAAAATATAAGTGGCATGTAAAATGTACTTGAAACTTAAAAAACTTGCTCTAAGGGAATTAAGTACAAGGTAAATATATTTTATTCTTAATCTTTTAAGGAATTTGATTTAGACATTTTCCTTTCTAGGGACAGTTTGGATAATTTTCCAGTGAAACTGGATGATCTTTGAATATTAAATCAAAGGAGACTAGAATAACAGTCTCTTGACTATTCATGAAGGAGCTTTAGCAGAAGCATTCTTTCTTGGTGTTCTAATCACGCTTGGCAGCACCTGCCCACAGTACCCGAAGATGGCAGGCCTTGTTCCCTTCATCCAAATTCATAAACCCGGTTGTAGTGGCTTCTGATGATGACTTGTTTCTCTTTTCAGTAAGTGTGGACCGTTGTGTACCAGAGAGAACATCATGGTGGCTTTCAGAGGGGTCTGGACTCAAGCTTTCTGGAAAGCAGTCACAGCGGAATTTCTGGCCATGCTTATTTTTGTTCTCCTCAGCCTGGGATCCACCATCAACTGGGGTGGAACTGAAAAGCCTTTACCGGTCGACATGGTTCTCATCTCCCTTTGCTTTGGACTCAGCATTGCAACCATGGTGCAATGCTTTGGCCACATCAGCGGTGGCCACATCAACCCTGCAGTGACTGTGGCCATGGTGTGCACCAGGAAGATAAGCATCGCCAAGTCTGTCTTCTACATTGCAGCCCAGTGCCTGGGGGCCATCATTGGAGCAGGAATTCTCTATCTGGTCACACCTCCCAGTGTGGTGGGAGGCCTGGGAGTCACCATGGTAGCGTCTTTAGCTATTTTCAAACTAGGACTCCAAGCTTCTTGCAAACTCTTTGCTAAATAATGCCTTGGTGGCATGAGGCACATCCCTAAAATAGCTAATTCACTCCTAAGGAATTTTTGGATGATTCTTAATAGTGTGAAAACTGATTCTGGCAGTGTTTAGGTATATCTGTAAGAAATCATTGTTTGCTCTTGAGTGCCCTAAAAATAACAAAATCTAGGTGGCCTGAAAATTGTGTTGGTTTTTACCTCTCCTTCTCCCATTCCAGTTACTATATTGACTTTATATTTAGCTTAATGCATTTTCCTTACAATTATTTGTTCACTAGCAGAAAAAAACTTTTCTTGTCGTGTTCATAAGATGTACAATGATCTACATAAAGGGTTGTGCTTAAAAAACATAGACCTCCGATCCTAGTTTTGTTCTTAGCTGATTAGGAGTATCAATTGTTAACTCAGCACCAGGGCTGATTAAAAAAATAAAAAAAAAAAAAAAGCACATGGCTTAAATTTTAATTGAAATATATATTAATTAATTTAAACCTAATTAATGGATTTAATCATTGCCTTATGCAATTACAAGGCTCTCAAGAAATTCTTTTACGAGTTAAGTGCTGCAGTGGCACATTTTGCTTCCTTTGTAGAAAAGGACATTCAGCACAAACTCCTGCTTGGTCATTGTAAGAGTAATTATCTGTGATGACCCAAAACGAATGTAAATTTATTCCTTCTTTTTGGGGGATGAGAGAAGGAAGGCCTCAGTTGAAAGTGGGGTAGAAGACTTACCTTTATTTTTACACAGATCAAATGTGCCTTTCACAGTGATACTAATACATTGTCATCGAAAATACTCTTGCTTCAATTCTGATGGAATATTTTTCTTTCTCTAGGTTCATGGAAATCTTACCGCTGGTCATGGTCTCCTGGTTGAGTTGATAATCACATTTCAGTTGGTGTTTACTATCTTTGCCAGCTGTGATTCCAAACGGACTGATGTCACTGGCTCAATAGCTTTAGCAATTGGATTTTCTGTTGCAATTGGACATTTATTTGCAGTAAGTTTCCAAGTCCATTTATATAATCAATCCCACCTCATTTATCCTCACTCTAGCCGGCCTGAAGATGTTATGTTTTACAGCAGTTGCTCTTTAGTATCCAGCCATGACTGTCCATTTTAGGTTATAATTTTTCCAACTGCGCAATAAGAATGTTGATCTAGCTGCTAACATCTTGAGGTTCCTCTAAGTGACAAATGACAGCAAATTGCAATGAATGATACTTGCTAGTAGCCCTGTTTCAGCAATGTCTGAAGTTGTTTTCTTGTTTCCTCTAGATCAATTATACTGGTGCCAGCATGAATCCCGCCCGATCCTTTGGACCTGCAGTTATCATGGGAAATTGGGAAAACCACTGGGTAACCCTCATATTGATAGTCCCTATCTTCCTACAGTTGAGGACAATTACCTGTGGGACTCTTTTATTTTTCATTATCTTGCTTACTAGTTTCTCTTGCATTTCTCCAACCTTGACCCCCACTTTATTTACATCTTTTGTAAAGACTAGGGAAAGACTAGCACAGATCTGCTGTAAAACATCTCTTATATCTGTTCTAGGCCTTCAATAATAGTCTTTTCCTTTTTTGAAGCACTATTTTAGACACTGTACCTGACAGATTGCAGCAGAATACACTGTATATAGAGGTTGCGCATGTGGATCAAGTTAAAGTCAGCATGGTGTAGCAAATACGGTGTTTAAATAATTGAAAGTAAAGTCTTCCCAGCAATAACAGAAAAAAATTGCAAAAAAAAAAAAAAAGAATGAATGAAATACTTAAAAGCACTGCCCATAGCAAAGATATTTACCCTTTTTTGTTTACAAATGCATAAACTCAATTAATAGTATGTAAGTTGCAAATATTTGAACTGCAGATGGTGTCGAATAAATAATGCAAAGGTTTATGCTATCATCACCATAACCGTAACTGGAAAAATGAATGACTCACAGAAAAGGCTCACTTTTCAGTCTCAAACCCAACCTATTATAAATAAATATTTATGAATGTAG